GAATTCCATTTATTCTAATCTTGATAAAGCGTTCTTTAAGGAAATTGTAAATGAACTTGCTAATGTTGACTTTAATCTTGGCCGACGTTATTAAATTCACTACCCGTCTTCACCACACCATCTCATAGGCTTTTTCAATGTCTAGGCTTACAACTAAGGTATTCATATTATTAGCAAAACCGTTGTATATGCTGTTTTCTATTGATGCTATACAGTCCATTGTTGAACGATTTTTCCGGAACCCGCTTTGATATGGGGAAATCAATTGATTTTCCAAGTACCACCTCAATCTCTGATTCACTATTTTCTCTAGCAGTTTACAAAGGCAACATGTTAATGTAATAGGCCTATAGCTGCTTATCAGGAATTTATCTTTCCCAGGTTTGTGGATCGGCACAATAATAGCTTCAGACCACTTTTTAGGGAGTACATTGTGAATATAGATCGTATTAAATATATGCAACAGGTACTTTATGGCGGATGGAGGCATCTTCTTGATGAATATATTGGGGATTCCATCAGGGCCGGCACTGGTGTTTTTAAGTTTATGCATGGCTTCATGCAGTTCTCTTGGTCTTAATACTGAGTTTTTATTTCAACAGAAACGTATCATACTAGAGATAGAAGAGATTCAATTGTCAATTTTTGTTAACAAGTAGGATTATTTGTAAGGTTGAAATTTCTTTGCATTTACATACATTTTCTGCAAACTAAAGCAGTCCTTTTCAACAAAGTTTACATGTTGTGAAACATTTAAAATCACCATAAATGCATGTTTTCGCATATTGGACTTTATGTGAATATTTTTGTACATATTCGCCTTTTCTTGGCAGAAAATAATCAGAAGACTCGCATTAAGTTATCCATCACTGCAGTTATCCATCACTGACATTTGACTCCACACTTCGCAAGAAATCTCCCTGGACGTGATAAGTTGCGTATTTCATGTGCGAGACGTAATCGAATCGAAATTTTGTCGCCGCCCGTGAGACGAGACACTGACCGCAGGAAGCTGGTATCACAGTAGCGCTTTACTTAGTTCCCATTTATAAGTGAATCACGTTTTGTCTAGGTATTCAAGTTTTGAGTTCTTAGGAAATTCCATTTTTATTGGAAACATATTTTTTATTGTCTGAAATGAACGTTAAATTCATCTTACATATTTTGTAAACAGAAAGTATAATTTTCTTAAAAATCAAGCTCTTGACTTAACGTGATTTGCCAGTAACTTACGATTATTATGATTTCTTTATCATATTTTTCGGTGATTACCTGTTTTCCCATTACACATATTTTCAGTTTTTAATTGCGTATGTTATCAAATATGTTTATATTATATACTTACATATTTCGCTGCTATTCGTATCCAACTCACAGACCTAATTATTAGGGCATTCTTCTAGTCAAATTTTATATTAACTCATTACAGTGGTGTACCCAACTCATTACAGTGATGCATTCCTCTCTGGACCCATCTCCCAAATCATTAATTTTAATTTTTATCAATTGAATGACAATAATTACCATATATAACTCTCTTCACATCCAAAGCAGTATTTCCATTTTGAATATGTTCGCACTTTTGTTTTTTTTTTCAAGCTGAAAATAAAAAAACCTATTTCAAAAATATTTATGGCACTCTGAACATAAAAATTGCCCCTGACTCACCGTGAGAATCTTGTAGTCTCTCTTTGAAATGTCTTTTGTTCACTGCAATTTCTGCGTCATCTATTTATACCGTGTACGAACATTTCTCATTTTGCAGAAGCTTGCAGTCACGCTCGAGCTCATGAATACTTTGCAGAATCCATCGTTTCCGAAGTTGGATTTTACGCTGTAAACTGCGCAACGTGGGACGAATATGTTAATAAGAAATGTTCAAGCAATAAAGCTGTACTGATGGGTGAAAAAACGCCAAGAAGGTAATTTATATTTTTGCTACATTATTTCTACGTCTATGAATTTGGTAAAAATCATTATCTTTAAATGAATTTGATTAATTATCGAGTGATCAATTTAACATATTCAAGTTTGAGAACAAGAACAAAAACACTTTTTAATCCGCAACTACCCTTGGGCTACACAAGTCACGAACACCATCGTGCAGTCACTGTGGCCGCCCGATTTTGGAGGGGGGGAACGAAAGAACAGTAATAGTAATTTCTTACTCTACCAATTCCTAAAAGTTGCGTAAAAAGTATTTTGTTCTTAACACGAATATAATCGCCCCAAAAATTAATTTCCTCGACAATCGACCTATATAGGGGGTTACATCACGAAATATAAATTCAAATACGACGATTTTAGGAAAATAACAAACTATAATGTATTGTGAGATTTAAAACCAACCTTCGAACAGTGTGAAAAGATATAGAAACTACTATAAATAACTTCAATGTATTAGAATTGTATCAAACAGGTGATTTGGGATCACCGTCAAGAAAACTTATACCACAATATTCATCCGGAATGGTGCCTTTATCATATTCAAGTGATTTGAGAATTGTCAATAACTCCCCAACTCGCGAAGCGAGGACGGTATTTATCTTAGAATTTCCTAAACACGAGTGATATTTAATAGGACACGAATGAAATTTATTTCCAACAGAGTTACAAAATATTCCAAATGTAGAAAATAAATTAAAGTTATGTTAAAATCAAAGAGGTTGTGACATAGTACATAAGCGGTTTATTGGACACCGACATAGCGATTAATTCGTACCGCCTCCTATGATAGATTAGTCACAGTTTATGATTGGCCGATAGGGAGAAGCAGTAAGAAATATCGGATAGAAAAAGCGATAAACTTTTTGAAATACACGGCCCTGATTGAGGCATTTTGTATGTATAGTTCAACACTATTGGTGTCAATTTCACTGGTGAAATAGTCAATGAAATTACATCCAAGTGCATTGCAGAATAATTTACTCGAATTCCAGATTTGGTAAATAAACTCGTTTGGTCGCTTTCCTTCGAATTTTAGCGCAAAAAAAGCGTAAAAAGTAACACGAACATCACAGTGCATTCACTGTGATTGCAGCAAAATTTAATTCAAATAAATAAAACTAGTGGTGCTACAAAAACAGAAGTTTTCTCGAATTATTTTTAACTTTTGTCATATTTGTATGTATGCTTATAATGTATATTAATAAAACATTGCGACTACGACTATGATCTTTTAATGTTTTTATGTTATTTTATTTGCTATTCTCAATTGTCAGTGATTATGGTGGTAATTCAAGTTTCGTGTCTCTAGAAAAGACCAAGAAATAATTTTACTCAGAAACAATTTCAGCAAATTGTGGATTCCAAAATGCGCTGATTTTTACAGCATTTCCTGCACAGAAACACACAAAGAAACATTTTCTCCATGTGTGTTTCAAAGCCATATTAAAAAAATACATGCAAAATGCATGCATGAAATTGTTCACATGAAGATAACAAAATTGCAAATTTTAAACTGAATTGTATTTGTTTCAGTGCTCGAGGGATGTACTTCCTTTCAACCAATTCTAGTTCACCATTTGCTCTTGGTTTGGAAGACTGGATGGAAGCGTCTGAAACGTAATTTTTACAACGTTATTCGACTTAATTCACCTATTTTCTGAACAGCTATCTATTTCGGGTGACAAATTTTATATTATAAATGTAATGTTTATTGTAATAAAATAAATATGTTTTTAAATAACTTGTGTTTAATTGATTCATATCGTTTGTCGAAACAATAAATAAGGAAAACCACTTTTTGCTGCTTCATTTCATTCTTGATGTCATTCTATATATTAGTTTCGTCAGGACCCTAACAAGTAACCAAGTATCTAGAATTTTTCAGTTTCTTTAATTTTACTTATTTTTGAAAATATTTCTTATACTTCTTATTACTACTAATTATTATTTAATACTACTTATTACTACTTAATGCAACTTATTTTTGAAATTCTCTAACTTGAGCATTTTGTTCACAGTTTTCGTCAGTAAATTTGATTCAATATTTTACTATTCCTGGAAACTATGACAATTTTGAATCACTCTTTTATAACTGGTACTATCTGGTAATTTTTTCCAATTTTCTTATTTCCTGCCCTTGTTATATTTTCCAAGTGTATTGTACAATGTGGAAGCAACTAAAATAGCTTTTTTTGGCTGTTTTGATTTTATAATATAACTGATTTCGTTCGAACTCACTTGCTAATTGTTAAACGAAGCATTTTCAGTTTTTAATATCTTTCCATACATTTTACATGTCATTTCAAATGTTTCATCCAAAAGATCATATTTTTTATCCCAATTTATACAGAGTGACCAGGGAGAAAACGATGAAACTTTAAAAATATGCTCTTAAGACCATTTTAAGCAGATGTCTAATAAACGTCTTCGATATTTTCAATGACTGAACGACAATAAGCACTCAAAATACGGTTTGAAAAAATACTTTCTATGAATTTTTGAAATTGATCACAAATACAAATTTACACAAAAAGCACTCAATGTACACAATTCAACTATTTTTTGTTGCATTAATTTATCATTATGATCAAATATATTAATTTATTTTTTAGATACTACATTTTGTGTGTTTCTGGAGAATTTGTGTGTTTCTGTAATCAAAATTTTTGCATAGAAAGTATTTTCTCAAATCACCTGCGGCTCAGCCATTCGAAATGTCGAAGAAGATTTTCAGACAAAATATACTTAAAATTGTCTTAAGAGCTTATTGTCGAAGTTTCGACGTTTCCTCTTTCGACATCCTGTGTATTACTGATTCTGTAGACCCATTCCAACATTCCAATCCAAGGTTACCTCAATCCAAAGCAAAGTTCAAGAACCATGTTTTACAAATAACTTTATCAGTGTCTGCTGATCATATTTATAAACGATGTAGGCTGGCAGGAAATACCTTTCTGATGACTCTTACATTTCATCGCCATATTATTTCAATAAGCATTTTCCAACAAACTATTACTGCTATTTCTGCAGTATATTATGAAACATGTTTATTCGTTTACATTTGATGAACTCTACTTTGCAAATAGGAAGCCATTCTGTTCTTTTATTTATTATTTGCTTTTTATTTATTTTTTAATTATTTTTCACTTATTTTTATTTAATCACTTATTTATCGCCAGTTAATTAACAGTTAAAACCTGTAAGTGACGTATATGGCAGAAGTACATGTGAAGGTTTTCTTGAAGCTCGGAAATCCTACCCTCGCAGATCATACACCTACGTAGGAGTCACTTCCTTAGCGTCTTCAAGAATACCGATACCCCACCCATAAGCAAACAGTCGTAGGAATATTTCCGGCTAAAAGTGATAAGTGTCTTTTTTATCGAGCGTTCCAAGATACTGCACGTCAGTCTCGTCTGTTTCTCCCTTCAAGAAACATGGGAATCTCGTTTGTGGCATTTTCCATTCTCATTCATCTAATTATTGCAAGTAAGTTTATTGTGACGTTTAACGAGAGTGCTTATACTACTGTGGCTACGATTCCTTGTCTTGTAGTCCAGTCCATTACATAACCTATTTTCATTGTCCTTTAGTTGAAGATGAAGTTTCATTGTTAGATCAAAATAAAACGACGATCAAGTAAATGTTTGCGAATGTTGTTAAATTAGAGGGTGAAATGAAATCTTTCAGTGTACGATTTCAAAAACTTTGCTTGTTTGAAGACATTGTCTGGAAGGCAAAATGTCTGGTGAAAAATATATTCAAATTTATTTTCCAAAATCTGTCGGATGATTTATACCTTAACATAAAATGTTAGAAAATTCTGCACCAACACTTTCGTGTGATAATAACTAACTGTACGTATCACATAACCTGGGGGTTGGTAGCGCCGGCAATATAAAACACAACACCGTGCTAAATTTTTCTCACGAGCAAGACAAACATTTTATAAATTTTTTTAATTGATTCAAAACATTTTTAACTTGTTTGTTTGTTATTGCAAATGAACCTCGAATTACAGAATAATAAGTATTATTAATATCACTATTATTATTATTATTATTATTATTATTATTATTATTATTATTTCAATTCTTTTCTAGATAATTTACCATAAAGTTGCGGTTAAGATTGAATAGAATTTTTGAATGACAAAAATAAAAACCAAGGATTCGAACGTCAATCCAAAAATATTTTAGCTCCTGAATGTTTTATTTACAATTCTTGTTATTAGAACGTCAGTTTTATGTATAAAATTGTTTTTCGTTTTATACAACACAATTTGTGCAAACAATATATAAATACATCTTGGTAAGTCATCTACAGTAAGAACGCAGACTTTCCAATGCAATTTGAACGAGTTACTTTTATAGTAATTTAATTATGATTTTCGATTTTATAATCCTTTCAAAGCTCACTTAGAGAATCAATATTTTTGGTTTGAGATTACGACATTTTCAATAATATTTTAGAAAATATTCGACATTTGTAGCTATTAAATTTAAAGCAAAAATAAACACTGCTATAAAATGTGACCGAAACCCAAATGATTGTAACTAATTATAATTTTAAAGAAAATCATAACTATATATGAGACCTATATGAGTCCCTTACATTTCAATTTCTGTATTTCTGTTTCACTTTTGTAATCTATATTTTCACATAAACTTCATTTGCATTTCGGAGAATATCTCCCTCGGAAGTCGTTATCCCACAGACGCATTATGTCAGAATGCGATAGCTGTTCTAGAAAGTTGTTCAAAAGTTTTTTTCCTGTCGCTAGATAATTTTGTCTCGATTTTGTATTCACGAAAAAATGTATAAAACACTCACTAGATCAAATTAAATCCCATTGAAAATTCGGTTAAGATAAAAACTGTATTTTAGAGGACCACACTTTTGACAATTAAAGATTCCAATTTATAGGAAGTTAGGTTGTTTTGTTTGTTTGTTTTCGTTGTTGTTTGTTTTTTCAAAAAGATTAAAGATATATTTTTACTTACGAACTGAAACCTATATACGAAGCGTTTTCAGATTACCAACATGGATTAGGAAAATCAAAATCTACAGAAGCAGCCACTTTCTGTTTTCTTTTATTAAATATGTTGCTGCATCAGTGGATCGAAATGGAATATTTAACTGAAATATTGCAAAATGGAAATTGCTGTAATATTTTTAGATCTTTCAAAAGCATTTCATGTCATTAATCATAATATTTTACTTTCAAAATTAACTTCTAATGAAATTCTTTGCATTGTTCTAGATTGCTTATGGCCGTGCCTTAAACAACGTACAGTGTTTCTAGTCCCCGAGAAGAGACTAGAAACACTGTACTGAAATTACTGGGAGTTTATTTTCGCACATATCCGATTCACTGTCAATATAATTTTATACCTTAGTCATTACCCCTAAGCCGTTCAAAATGAACGATGTGATTTACTAATGTTAAGGTAACAACATTTTATTTTTTTATACAAGCAATCGTTAAGTGTTATGTCCATTTCAATTAATTGAACAGAAAATTAAGTTCATTACGCATTGAGAAATCTTTCAAATTCAGTCACCCATCAAACTGCTCGTTGAGTATATTTCGCGAATGCTCATCCCCCCCGAAATATGACTTACCTAATATTTTTAATAACAACAAATTCCACCCACATGATAGATACCTTTTTTATTAGGCTAGGAATACTACCATTTCTGAGGCTTTAAGTTTACAAATCAGTGCTTTTGGTACAAAATGACTTACCCAAGGGTGGGAACATATTTTCAACTAATACGGATGCCTATACCTACAACATTCGCCAAAGTAATTTCAATCATCAGGTGTTAGTATAAACAACTCGCTACAAAATGTTCACACACATGTACTACATTATTTTACATCGCATTGCCACATGACACTAAACGATTAAAATGGATACACAATTTTACGAGCCAAGTATTATATTTTTTCTGATTAACTGTTTCGACACAACTAGAGAATTTTTAGGCATCAAAAAATTATGATAATATGTATTTTAATAATCATATTTAATGCATTAGTTAGCACTTACCCTGTATTATTCTTAAATACAAAATATACCTGTAAGAAAATGATTTTACTATCTCAGACCCTGGGTCAATGAACGCATCTCGATTAGCTTTTCCTAGCAGATTCCTAAATCCTTTGAGCAAATAATGAGTGCTTTGCATTGCATTTCTTAACTTCATTACCTGTGCACTTATTCTAGAGTTCAGTGAGGAAGAGAGTTATTCAAATTATCTTTCTTAATGTTGTCGCGGCAGTAAGTTGATTCCTTCATGAAGTGCATAAAATTTAATAGCTAAAATCTGTAGCTTATTTGCCTTTGCAAGAAAAATTTTTATTACATGGAAGTGAATATTTTTTCATCAATTTTTACCATAACGCAGGATTTCTCCGGAATTCATAATTCAAGTTTTATACGAGTTAGTATAGGGTTCTAGAGCTCAATAAAACGCCCATAAATTGCACTTCTCCACAAAGTATATCACACCCGGTTTCAACTGTTTCTGAGCTTCAAATAAATAAATAAAAATGTATCGTCTAATTTTGCTAACTTCGAAATGCGAAATTAATATAGTTATTTTGTTTCATTCAAGTCAATGG